TTTTTAAGCATATTTTCGCCTCTGTAACTCACAAAAAGGATGAACCCAATGCAAGAGGGGATTATAACAAAGGGAATAATGAATTTTGAAGACTTTGAGAAAGAGGCAACCGTCATAGGAACGTGAATCACAGGTCGCAAATTGTACCGCTAATTATACATAGTGTCCAAAGCACGAGTATGATTTAATGTAAAGTATAGCTCACAATGAACGAATCTTCGAACAGGTAAAAGCACGTCTCCTTCCCATCTCACCTGTTGCATTATGGCGTCTTGTCTGGGATCATCGCTACCCTTCACTAACTGCCTTCTTCGTCGACCATCGGAACAGAGAGCAGTCACAATTTTCGGTAGATTCAATCCCCCAGCAAGCCGATAGGTATTGGCGAAACCAGTCACTCGAACCAGATTATGATATTTACCGCTGGGATCTACGCGTGGAGGGCAAGTTACCACTGGAATAAGATTCAAACACCGGTCAGCATCACGAGAGAGACGATACAGTGAGATATTTGAAGGCAGTGGTATGTCACCTGAAGGGAGAAATCAAATGTTGGCACAAGCATGTTGGTAGTAGAAGAGGTATAAATGAGGAGTTCAAGAGTAAAACAATAGAACCTTGGAGCAAAATCAAACGATAAGTAAATCTACTTAAATAGCAGTTAGTAGCGTATGAGCAAGCAATGGACGCACCCTTGGCATTACGCTTGTTTTCAACATCCACATTCGCCCATTCAATGTAAGCCCTCGCAAGGTTCTGCATTTGTCCAAAGAGACCTGCCAGAGAGCCAGCATTTATTGAGCAGACATCCTTGAAGAGTTGACGAGCCATAGTTATTCGAGCTGCGTTCCTATCAGCCTAAAGACAAGGTTAGGCAGAGAAATGAGGTGCCTTACTGGGAGTTCTGTTCGAGAACGCTTAGCGCGTGAGGTCATAGGAACATTGATTGTTTCATCCAAATCAGCATTGACCAATGAAAGAAGAGGAAATCCAGTGTGATATGGGTGCTTACTGAGCAATGTTTTTACCAACTAAATAAACATAAAACAAATTGAAAGCCATTGAAAATCAGCATAAAAACAAAAGACGAATACCACTAAAGTTCAAAAGACACCTAATGGAGAGATAAAGAAGGAGAGAATGCTAAGGCACACCTAAATATCAGTAATGTGCTTGTCACAAAACAGAAAGATGTTAGTCCGTGGAGGGTTTAACTACAACCTCGTTAAAGGGTAAAGTGGATGAGAAAAGAATGCCAACAGTGCATATCTGTCATGTCGGAGGTCAAGGGGTCGATTCCCATTAGTACATATCTAATGAGAGAAGTGAACAACTGAACTAAGTAATTCAATTACTCAATAATCCCACCTTGTGGTGTGCGATAGACTTACCTCCACGTGGTGCACCCTGGGCAACGTATACTCATACGGCAAAAAAGTCTATTAATCGGCAGTTGACTTCTAACTTCTAACTACCAAGACCCCACCACATTTCATATTCTACTAATTCCACAGTACTCACCTTTTTTCTACCTTTGTGTCTGTCTGTCTCTTTTACGTCTGTGAATCATTATTCTGTCCCCACTCTCGACTTTTTGCCACTTTGGTGTTCCTCTTCCTTTCTGTGAAACACGAAGTCAAAAAAAGAGCTAATGATACTTATCATAACGGCTGCCATTTGAAATAAATAATAAATGTTGCAAACTTTCATCAGAACTTTTATTGCCAGCCTATCGATCTCAAAATGAAAGCTTAGTTGTTCACAACATGAGCTGAGTTTTTTGGTCAAAATTTAATGCCTTAGTTCATTGGTATTCATTCACCATGAAACAAATAGGCGTGAGATATTTTTCATGCGCAGGCACCAATCATTAGTGCCGGTTCCTCTTGCCACATTCAAACTTCATGTGAAAAGCTCTCCCCATTCATACCAATGGTCCAGGGAGTTGCACAACTCACAAAATAAAAGGCTTTTACCCTTAAAAAAAGGCATTACTGATTTATGATCTGGGGAAGAATCTTTGTCAATGAAGATACATTTTGCTGCTTTTGTAAACAGATAAATTACTTATTGAATAGGTTCTATTTGTAAAACGAACACAAACATTCAGTCAGAAGGTGAGGGGTGGGTGGGAGAACTTGACTTTACTTAAATCAGGAAGTCACCATTATTTATTCAGCTTACTAAAATTAGTATTAACATTTGTGGAGGCACTTGAGGTTACTCATTATGTATTCACCACTCCTTGGCGCTAAATAATACCTAAAAATAGCTTTAAAAACTTTTAATAATGATGCATTTCTCGCATAAATTTATCGATTGAGATCCAATTCCCTGTCAGACACACGTTTAACAAGTTCAGGAAGTTATATGGGTTTCATTTCGGGTGCCATTTTTGAAGAAGCTACTAGAACAGTTATGAATTTAAGATTGTTCAAAATCATTATTCGCCTAAAACTTTGTTTGTTGCATGAAAATCTTCATTTAACAAACAACTTAAAAATGATTAAA